CCCCGGAATTCCGGAAGCCCGGAATATTCCGGTACATCCGGACTGGTCCGGATCCATTGTCCGGATGCCTGTCCGGATGCGGTATATTTTCCAGAAAAAAAAAAAAAAAAAAAAAAAAAAAAAAAAAAAAAAAAAAAAAAAAAAAAAACAGTGTACATGCTCAGAACATAGAAGTTACATTACCTGACTGAACATTGCGCAGTGTGTTGTCACTGCAGCCGCACACCTGCACCTGTCTCTTATACACATCTAGATGTGTATAAGAGACAGTGAATATCTATTGACCTATTAAGGAACTACTCATGCAATAGGTTACCACAGAGGTCCTACGAATGCTCACAGCCCTCAGGATCCCTAACAAGCCCCTTCTAAGACTTTCCAACAGTCTTACTCCCTGCTGAGCTCTTCCAGGCCTCACGCCCCCACCCTGCTGGGTTACAGGGCCACACCTGTCTCTTATACACATCTAGATGTGTATAAGCTTGGACTACTGGACCCTAGACAGCATGAATTTTGTTTGTCTCTTGTGTGATTTTTCTGGGCTTTGCTTATTCTTTCTGAGATTTCCAAGATTCCTCAGATCCCAACAGGCACGAGTCCCCAGGCGACTTGTATATGCATTGGGCTGGGCTCCAGGTGCTGTTGTCACTTCGTGGCGCGGTTCCCGCAAGACATCACCCATGTGCAGCTGCAGTGATCCATGAGATTAGAGGGGTTCGAACCCACAATTACCTTGTGGAAGACCAGGCCGATTCCCTGCTGATGGCAGAAAAACTTGTGAACAATGTGAAGAGGATTTTTGTATTTTTATTTTCATTTTTAACGAATAGCCCCTTCTCTTCTGGGGGGTGTTCACTCCGGTTGGTTATTACCAGCAAGCATGAGAATAAGGCCGAAGAGAGTAAGAAAAAGCGACAGCCTTGCCCCTTGCGGCACTGGTCGCCTACACAAGGTAGGGGCTGTTACGAATCGTCCAACCCCCCAAGCGATGGCCTTCCTTCAGGGGGGCTTCTGCTGGCCGGGAAACTTACGGGCAGGACCCAATCACGCAGCAGAAGGATCCCAAGGGAGGCGGAGTGCGGGGCGGGCGTTCGTGACAGTCTCTCAGGCCACATAGTTCATCCCATCTCCAACTTGTCTCAGAGTCCTTATAACCTTTTTCATCCTCGCGGGGATTCATTTTCATTTGGTGCGCAGCCAAAATCTGTGTCAGGAAAAAAGAGGCTCAAAAATACTGGGGGAGGCGGGGAGGG